CCTATCCTATGGACTCATTCGTTATTGACTCTTCTTCCAAATTCGCTGCTATGTTTCTAATTGGTTTGTAGCTTAGGCGACAAAGGTCAATGTATAGATGAATACAGTTAAGTAATCAAGGTATTAGGCAAATATGTCCAAAACGTGTTTACTGCAAACTGGCGCACACAAGTCTAAAGTGGAATAGCATAGCGTAAACTTTTTGTGAAGCGTAAATTGTAATTTTTCAAAAGAACTCTTATTTGCCCACTTCTAAGGCAGGAAGATAATCACTCTAACATTGCTCCAAGTAGAAGTATTTTAGCGGTCCCCAGAGCTTATCGTGAAAGATCTTTTAATAGGCTGTCCCTATACTCTTAGTGAAGGTTGACATTGGGAAAATGCAGTAAAGTGTACTTTGATCTTTCATCTTGATTTGTGCCTTTATTTTGTGTCATCAGGACGCTATCAAAGAACTGCAAGATACAATAGCCATTGTTGAGGAGAATCGAGCTATGAACCCATCGTCTTCCGATCCACCCATTGCGGATTCACACATTGCGAAAACAGATCGCCGGAATCCGTGGAACCGACGAGTAGTTAAAGATCACTTCAGGACGTTTGGCGCTTTATGCCCAACCGGGCAGACGGAACAGAAAACCGAATTGACTAGACGGGACTTTTTTGCAGGAGATCGCATTAAAAGCAGGACTGCTTGGATGAATGGCTTGGGTAAGAGAGGTATGCTGGCAGCAAATGGCCCGCTTTCAGCAGGCCAGAGAGAGAGTGTTGCGAATATTTCTCAAATGCTGATTCGTATGACACCGTCTAGTGCAAGGAAGTAAACTGAAGGGCAAAAAGACAGACAACATGTCGGTTCACTGGCAGGCAAGGAGCAGTGAGACCCAACTTGTGACTTGGTAAACATGTGGCAATGGTTTTCACATATTCTGGAAACTAATTCACCTTCAACTCACATAAACTGCAGTTTATCCTTAACGTTTATTTTTTAAAAACAACCAATATTGGAAGATTTCCATTAAAAATACAATTCTCAACTGAATTTCTCTTACACAGGATTTGCAATAATGAAAATCCAAGAAATATTACAAAAAACGCATGTTTTTACACATACTAATAGTGGCTTTTCATAGACTTTTT